GACAAGGCTGTCCACTCTCTCCATACTCTTCAATATTGTCCTTGAAGTTGTAGCTAGAGAAATAAGACAACAAAAGGAGACCAAGGGAATACAAATCGGAAAGGAAGAAGTCAAACTCTCACTATTTGCAGATGATATAATAGTCTACATAAGTGACCCGAAAAACTCTAACAGGGAACTCCTACAGCTGATGTACACTTTCAGCAAAGTGGCAGGATACAAAATTAAGTCAAAAAAATCTGTAGCCCTACTATATATGGATGAAACATTGGTGGAGAAAGAAGTCAGAGACACATCACCCTTTACAATTGCCACAAACAACATAAAATACCTTGGAGTAACACTAACCAAAAAAGTAAAAGACCTGTACCGTAAGAATTTTGAGTCTCTGTAAGGATTCTTCTAAGTAGGCTATCTGGTTAACATCTCTGTCTATAGTGGCACTGAACTCAGTATAGCTGGATGGGCCAATGATGAGGGAAGAGAAGCCAGTACCTGCTCCTACAGCTCCCCAGCCGAGGAGGACTGCAATTGTAACGGCTGATATAGGTTCCTGGCGTCTGTGAGGATGGGAAAGGGCGGAGGTCCCTTGGGATTTTTCCCAGAAGTGAAAGAATTTGTCAGGCCTGCACAAGAATGCAGAATGCCACCTCCTCAAAGATATAGTTGGAAAGGCAGGGAGTGAGGCCATGGAGGCAGGCCCACCAGGCATTGCTGGGAGGAACCAGCAGGGAACAGGGTAAGGTTGCAGAGATAAGAAGGGGTTAAGGGAATTAAAAGTGGGGAGTTTCACACAGAGTCCAGAATCCATGAGCCCACTAAGGGTGAGTTTGGAGGTGGGGTTTTCAGGAGGAGGAGACGGGTGGCTATTTTATCTCAGCATGCCTGTTTTCCTCTTCTCCATGCATATCTCCAAACAGTCCAGGAGTCATCTTGTTTTATTGTTTCCCTATAAGAAAGCACAAACATTCCTCCATCCCAAATTGGGTCTTTTTTACTGCTTAGTGTATAGGTTGTTTTTATTACTTTTGGAACTCCCATGTAAGGAAAACATCATTGAATAGTTATTTGTCACATGTTTAGAAATTTAAATATCTATCAATTCTCATGTGTACATATTTTAATTTGTCAAATTTTGTGATATGAGTAACATCCATTTGCCATGGATGATTAGGAAGTGGATCTCTAGGGTTTATTCCTAAATTAGTTACAGATAAACACTGTGGGTACACCTTATTGTTCGGCAATTTTGATGAGTAGTCTCTCTAGTTAAACTGAATTGTTTTCTTAGAGCTTTTGTTATTTTAATGAAGAAAGTTATGAGACTGTAGAGTTCTCTCTAGCTAAGAAAAATCGACCAATTTTATTAATCCATCTGTTTATTTGTTCCCTTTAGCCAGTAGGCAGGGAAAGGCCTGAATGGGCTCCCTAATGTGATCCATGAAACATGGCAATTTTTGTTAGGTGTATTTTGAATTTGTTTAAATAACATTTTTAACCTGATAATTATAGTTTTATGTATAGAATTGTCTATATTACTTAAAGAGCCTCAAAAATATGATTATTAGTATACAAATTAAATGAATCATTTTATTAAATGCTGAAAGACCATTGCAACAGCTTGTAACTTGATGACCTGAGCTGTGGCTGGAGCAGTCTGTTCTGTATATTTTTTACCATTTATAATATAAGTTGTTCTTATATTAGAAGAACCATCAGTAAAAATTTACATAGTATTTTATGAGATTGTTTCTTAATATTTTGGGGGAAAATGTATTATTATAAAATGTAACAGCCTATGAGCTGTAATTGATTATCAATGTTCTCTGAAAATTTAGCAAAAACAATTGTCCAATGAATCATTATTTAGAAATAACCAATCAACTTGTTGTTTGACATAAGTAACATAATTTTTTTATCTTTAAGCCTTAAATTCTTTAGAATTTAGAATATGTCCCAAACAATTTTTGAAATTTTACTTAAAGGTTTTTGAGCAGCCTTTTCTAATCCATCTTGTTAAACTTTTTACTAGCTGACATTAAAAAATTAGGAGAATTTTTGTATCCTCTCCTCTGCCAAATTTCATAGAATTGTCCTTCAAAATTCCCCCTTTGCCCCTAAGTCAACGGGGCTGATTGGATGCTCTTTTTAATTATATTTAAGGCAATTTAGGTAGCTTTTTAACTATTTCTGAAGTAATATATATGTATATGTATATATATATATGTATATATATATATATTTATATATTTGTAAATATATTATATTTATATATTTATATATTTATATTATATATATATTTATATATTTATATATTTGTAAATCATATCCAAGGCAATTTAAGCAGTTTTTTTCTTTTGTCAGCATTCATGCATTTACAATGACATATTGTGGCCACACTGTACACATAGAGCAAGCACACATTTTTCATCTCTCTTTTTGCCTAGGCTATGACCAGTCTGTTGAAATGAAAAATTCCCTAATTGAAGCATCTTGTAACATAGCAGTTATAGCCAATTCTTGAATTATGAGCATCTAAAATTTTAACATATCCAAAGTTTTCCATGCTGTCTTTCTTTTTCCATAAGTTCTTAAAACAGTTTTCTGACTGGCTGTATTAATAGTAATTTCTATATATTTGATTGGTCATCAGTGAGACAGAAAAGGGAGTAGCTCCCAAAGGCTGCAAGTGTTTTGGTTTTGGCCCAGGCCACCTTTGCCTTTTGCCCTCTGGGCTTGGGCTGACCTGTTATAAATGATCTGTGGATGCCTGCTGTGGCTGCAAATTTCTTATCTTTTATGAGAGTAATTTGGCCAAATCCTTAAAGTCTCCTGGCCCTTGCTGAACTCCATCACTAGCTCATTGCCTCTCTGTATTTACAGTTAAAAATGAGGGAGGCATGTAGTTTAATTCTGTGGGGTTAGCATCTGTTGATGATGTAGTTCATGCCCCAGATACATATATGGTTTAGCAGTTTGGATTTTGTTAGGTATTATTTGGAGCCCTGTTTGAGTTAGGCTGGAAGTTAAATCTAACAAGCATAGGGAAAGTTGCTTCTGCTGGGCAGCAGCCAAAGAATGTAAACAGAAGGCCACTTTTTCTAATAGGATAACAGCAACAAATTTTTAGCATAAGGTGGGGCTGTTGGCCATGCCCTGAAGGCAAAACCTTCCACTGGTATGGAGGCATAGGGCCCTGGAAATTAACCTGGGGACCAGCAAAGGCAAAGTGAGGCTTATCCTCAGGGTGTAGGGGAATGGTGAAAAAGCAGTTTTAAGATCTTGGGGAGCAAGGCTGGCCCCATTGGTAGTTTCCCTGCTGTCTTGGGGGTAAGGGTTAGTTTTTTATCTGTATTGTGCAGACCAATGTTTGCATTTATGGCAAAGCGGGCATACAGTACGGGCGACAGCTGACCTGAAGCTGTAATTGTAGGAGTTCAGGGAGCAGGGCATTCTCTAAAGAAGTGAACAGGTTGTTTGTAATTAAAGCAAGTTTTTGGTTGTTGGTTAAAGGCCAAATGTTTAACAAACAGACAGGTTTTAGGAGACACTTTCTTTTGATTGTGGTGAGCAAAGTCCCTGCAATTCTCCGTAAACTCAATTTTGCACAAGACAAAATCTCCTCCTGAGAGGGAAGCACGATCTAGCAGGTGCTGGTCATTAGGGAGGGTAAGGGTTGATGGGGTAACTCTCCAGGAGGGTAAAGGTTGATGGGGCTGTGGGTACATAGTTAGAAGGACAAGTTGAAGGGGAAACTGCTCTGGATGGGAGGCAGGAATTATTCTTTACCAACTCTCTTTTATCTATTTACATCAATGGTTCCCTCTTGGAGGAATTTAGGACAGAGATTCCCCATGTAATCTAAATATTTATTAATTTTTTTTAACCTTAATTCTTCGAGTCTTGTCTGAAGACAGACATAGGAACCTTTTCTGGTTCAAAGACTTCATAGTAATCTTTTAGGCAATTATCTACTCTAGCCCATTTGTTTTCATTAATCGTCCCTTCCTGTGGAAACCAAGGACAGTGGTCTCCAACAAAGATGAAAATTTTCCTTAATTGTTTCTTTTTAACCCGGGTCCCTCGAATCTTGAGGGATTCTTTGATCCCAGAAAGATCCAAATCTGCCTTGTTAAGTGCTTCTCCCGTTACTCACCGCTGCCTCAGGTGGTGTTCATGAACCCGAAGATCCCGAGCGCTGGGTAAGGCTGCTGGGTGTCTTCCCCTCGAGGCCAACAATCAACCATGTTGACGGCACCTCAATGCATGGATGGGCTGGTACCGCTAATGAACACAGAAATTCTCCTCTCCTGGAACAGTCAAGCCCCAGATTCCGGGTGCCAGTTGTAGTTGTCCCGACCTGCACGACAGCAACCTAGAGCAAGAAGTCCAGGGAGGGGAATGGGGACAAGAGATGAGAGAGAATGACCCAAGACAGGATTCTAATCAAGTGGCAAATTTTATTTTTTTCCAGGCTGGCTTATATAGTCAGTAATATGGGGTAAAAGGTAGGGGGCAAAGAGGCCAAGATCCAGGTGTTAATTTAAGCAGGATGTTAGAAAACTATAGAAAGAGGATGTTGGCA